CGTTTTCAGCGCCAGGTTTTGTGGCGGCTACACCACAGGACCAGCTGCTCAACCTCCCATCTGTAGGCTGACTTGCTGCTGCCTCGGATGAAACCGATGACCGTTGTATCATCAGCAAACTTTAGGAGCTTGACAGAGGGGTCCTTCGAGATACAGTCATTGGTGTAGAGTGAAGACAGCAAAGGGGAGAGCACACATCCCTGGGGGGCACCTGTGCTTATTGTCCGGGTGCTGGATGTGGTTTTCCCCAGCCTCACCTGCTGCTTCCTGTCTGTCAGAAAGCTAGTAATTCGGTGACAGGTGGGGGCAGGCACAGTGAGCTGGGTCACTTTGGAGTGGAGGATGTCTGGGATGATGGTGTTGAACGCCGAGCTGAAGTCCACAAAGAGGGCCCGTGCATAGGTCCCTGGGGAGTCGAGGTGTTGCAGGCTGTAATGCAGTACCATGTTCACTACATCGTCCACTGACCTGTTTGCCCAGTAGGTGAACTGCAGGGGGTCTACAGTATCCTTCAGGTGGGCAAACACCAGTCTTTCAAAGGACTTCATAACTACAGATGTAAGCCTAGTAATAATCATAAGACAGTCCGGTAGCTAGCCAATTTTAGATGCCATTTACATTATTATGTGGTCTGAAATGTTGTGAAACTTCCACTAGCCAAATTGCAGACTTCTTTCCAACCAGCTAGTTTGTGATGACCCCCCCAATCCGAAATCAAGATGTGTCGTCTTCCTGCATCAGATCAGCATCTTAATTATGTTTTAGTGCAAAGTGAGTGCATGAGACAAGACTTCCTGCTAACACAATTTATAATCCAGCTCACACCATTTATTTTAGTTCAGTTCACAGACACACTCCACCACAAAAAAAAAAAAAAAAAAAAGAGACGATACCTGTAGGTGGTAGTTCATCCCAGAGCCCACAAACTCTCTGAAGGCATCATAGGTCCTCTTTCTGACCCAGCTATCAATAGTCATGCGTTCTATCCCAAAGCGAATGGTCTCAGATTGGAAGTCACCCTCCTGGAAGAACACAGACAGAACTGAGAAAAACTAGAAGTAGACTGAAAACAGAAACATTCTTAAATCTACCGGCTCTATCTCATTAAGAAAAGGCATGTGCTAGCCACCCTGGACAAGAGCAGGAAGTTAAAACCCTTAAAATGCTAATTAAAACCCAGCACTCAACTCACCTCAACAGCTTTGAGTACATCCCTGAACACAGACCGCTGCTTCCTCTTGTCTGTCTTGGCTCTGTGCTTGTTACAGTCTGTGGCCAAAGCGCTCAGTTTATCACACAGCTCATCCCAACTGTCAAACTCAAAGTCCTGAAGGGACACAAAGAAAGTCTGCATTCATGACCCGTTGAAAGCTTTGTCCATCTGACACCATTGCACTACAGAAATGACAAGTGGAAATAAACAGCACAGATGAGCTTACAGAATCCATATCTCGGGCCAGTTCAAAGAGCAAGGCAATGGTCTCCCCTGCAGCAATCCTCATGTTGACATCCTCACTCTCCAGCAACTTTGGCAGTTTGGTCAGGTGTCTGCACAAAAACAAACCACAGGTATTTAAAAACTTACCCTGGACTTGGTTGCAATAGAATAAACATAGTGAGTATGATCTTTAAAAATGTTCTCACTTGCGCAGGATGTCTTTGATTTGGTCGGCAGTGCAGATTGTGAGCAACAGTGCCCAAGACAGCAGGGCGTTGGTATGGAGCTGGCTTGTTTGAGGATTCATACCATCCATCCTCGCATAAGACTGGGTGAATACATTCTCAAAGCACTCCATGGTGGTATGTACGTCCTAGAACAGAAAGCAGCAGGGATCAATAGAAAACTGGAGTTTCATGCATGTTCATAACTATAATTTGTCATAGTTCAGCTGTCAGTGCCACTGACAGCATGAATGTTTAGGGTGGTTCTCAAACATTTTTTGTCATTCCCCACTTAAGAGGGTGGGCGAATTTTCAAGCCCCACTTGTCAACAAAATAATGAAAATCAGCCAATTTTAAAATATCAAATAACACCAAGTTCAAAACAGATAAAATACAAGTGCAACTGTATCGTTTGACAGAGGGATAGTTTTCAATTTTGCAGCACTTGTGTCATTCAGCATAACTGACACCATGTCTACAGCAGCAGGGAGAATGAGCACTGTGCAATTCTTTATGCAACTTTGAATGAAGGCATTTATGCTTTGCTGTTCACTGATGCAGATTTTACCATGCGATTTTCCTGCTGGTGGTATTCTGCCAGCCGAGTGGCTTATTAACGTGACTGGGGTGTGTTGTCTTTGTGTTGTCTCTAAATGTCTTCTTAATTTGTTGGGTCTCATGCTGTCTGCTGCTGGTTTAAGACACAAGACACACATGGGTCTCTCCTCTGCCCCCACCATTCCCACCGTGAATCAAAGTGCAAGATACTGTAGGCTTCATCATATTTTCTTTTTGGTTGATAAGGCTACTGCCTGTCATTTTTTTGTCTGCTTGCGCTGAATCACCAGCTTTTTTTTTTGTGGTCCATGTAACAAATTTATCCATTTATGTTATTTTGCCCAGTACGTACACTATGGGCCCTCTGTGTGAACGCTTCCTTATATTGTTGCGTGGCACTTAACATGCCGATGGTAAACCATTATTGTTGCACTATGGTTCCACTTTTTTCTCCCGGGCCCCGAACTGCCGTTATTTTAATTTACTTGTATTAATGACCCATTTCTAATTTTCTCCATTCATTGCGCCCCACCTGTCGTGTCTTTATTCCCCACACTTTGAGAACCACAGGTTTAGGGTGATAAGGCACAAGATTATAACCACTAACTGGTGCAAATATACAACTGACAAAATGTTGTAAAACCATCACTGCAGCTTGCCATCAAGCACAGAAGTGTAAAAGAAAAGTGATTGGGAACCTACCAAAATGTCATCTTCTGCAACTAAAGAACAGAGGCCCAGACTTGTTGCCACCTGTTGGTGAAACAGAAATACTTGTGCAATTGACACGAGTCTCTAAAAATCCAGACAACCATATAGTAGCAGGCACTGTGTGGCTGCTGTTCAGCAGCCTGTCAACAATGCATTTGTCATTAGAGAAATATATTTTTATGTCAATGGAAAATGTCAGGTACTCACGGCCTGTCTGGCTTGTATGTTGGCTGATCCATCTGCCAGGATGTTTTTGAAGATAGGTTTCAGGGTTTTGAACACCTCCTCGCTCTCAATACCTGAGCCCAGTTGGATACACAGCAGGCAGGCTAAAGAAGCTGCTGCTCGCTGCTCCTCGCCTTTGCCTGTCAGTGAGAGGGGTGGTGGGCATTAACTTTTCCCTTAAATCCAGTGGAAACATGGCATTAGCAAATTTGAATTCAAAAATGATCATACAACTCTAGTAATAAAATACCAAATGACTATGATGGTAAGCTACAAAAAATAAGCAGCTGAACATATTAAAACATACCATATTATCACTCTGCAGATGTGAATTAAGGCCCTTTGATATCTAAACACTACTACAATACCAATCTGACATCTTGCTTGTGCTGTGAGACTGGTGAACAATACCAAACAGTGGAAAGAATGAAACGGATTTGAGGTACCTTTCTTGAGGCAGCGTTCAATGCTGTCTGTGATGGTCATCCTTCTTTCTGAGATGAACTCGTATAAGATTCGAGTGGCCATAGCAGTCTTAAGCCCATCCAGTGCACCCTGTCTGGTCTTAGCACTGAAGAAATAGATATATAAATATTTATTATTGCATCACACCAATTATTAAATTGCTCCTTACACATTGTGAAATGTCTTAATAATCCATTAGTTCTTGGAAGAAATTAGCCCATGTGGAAAACAGATCTGCATGGCTTTGGCAGTGAAGTAGCACCACTGGTGCATCCCTGCCTCAATATCATCACATTTAGCAGAGCAGTGGTGATTAATAATAATAATAAGTTTATATAGCACTTTACACCCAAGGGTGCTCAAAGTGCTTCATGACAAAACATATAAAATAAAAAACAGAACATGTTAAGATGCATAAACTAACAAAAAATTTAAAAAAGTTAAAATTGCACAAATTTAAAACCATGGTCTGTAAGCAACTATAGAACTCCTGTACAAAAGAAATGAGTCAAAGATTACAGAATATAAACTCAGAAAGCCTGTAGGCATGTATAGCGGCACTGCTATAAATTAAAAGCTGAAAGCCAGTCTGAATAGGTGTGCCTTTAATTTAGACTTAAAAACCATTAACTCAGTTCTAGGCCGAAGCTCAGGAGGCAGGGTATTCCAGAGGTTGGGGGCATATACGGCAAAAGAACGATTACCCAACTTTTTGTACCTTGCCCGCGGGACAACCAGAGACAAATGCTCAGAGGTATGTTAGCGCTCTGACCGGGGTATGAAAAGTTAAAATATCAGACAAATAAGCTGGAGCAAGGCCATTAATGGCATTGAACACCAACTGTAAAATTTTAAAATCAATTCTAAACTGTACTGGAAGCCAGTGAAGTGACTTAAGGACAGGGGTGATATGAGCATACTTTGGAGTATCTGACAGCAGGTGAGCAGCCACGTTCTGTACTAGTTGGAGCCTTTTTAGGGATGAACTCAAATGGGCTGCAAACCTCGATGACACCTTTGTCCTCTGATTGGTAGTGGTACTCTATGTCTTGGCTAAACATCCCAGATGTGGACGCCCAGGTATTTAAAACTGCTCACCCTCTCCACTTCTAGCCCCCAGATGAACAGTGGCCAGTGAGTTCTCCTCTCCTTCCTCATGTCCACTATCATCTCCTTCGTCTTGTCCGTGTTGATGGTGAGATTATTGTCCTTGCACCATGACACCAGACCGGCCACATCCCAGGGTGTAGAGGATGGGACTGAGGACACATCCCTGTGGGGTGCTGATGTTTGTGATAATGCTGGCTGAAGTCCTATTGCCAATCCTGACAGTCTGGGGCCTGTCAGTCAGAAAGTCCAGGAGCCAGTTGCAGGGGGTGGGATGCAGACCTAGTGTGGACAGTTTGTGGGTGAGTTTGTGGGGGACAACTGTGTTGAAGGCAGAGCTGTAGTCAATGAAGAGTATCCT